TTTATTTAATAAAATCATAAATAATAATAATAATGATTTGATAAGATTCAAAATTTTAAATGTTTAAACATTAAATGAAATTTGAATTAATGATATTGTTCTTTCCTTTTCTTTTTTTTTTTTTATAGAAATTGTTTGATGTTAAAAGATTTAACTTAAAATTTTTATTTAATTTTTAAAAAATTACTAATTATCACATTCAATTTTTAATTATGAATAAATTAAAAAAATTGAAAGGTTAGCAATAAAGATTATAGAGTTTAGTGATTTAATACTTACATAATTACTATATGTTTTAACATTAAGTCATACTTCTTACTTTTTAAAAATTTAAAAAGGTTATTTTTTGTATGACTGGTTGAATCAATCGGTTGAATTGATTCAACCGATTAAACCAGACTTGATGCCCAAAACATGTTAAACACCAAGTCACTTCTTTAAACATTGGTTGGAACCAAAATCGAAATATTAGCTTTCATCGGGTGGATTTTTTTTTTTTTTGTGTGCCACTAAAAACCTCATTGAAATTACCCTCGGCTTTTTGGTTTGATAATCAATTTTTGTCAGTTTGGTGCTTATCGGTTTGGCTGCAACTGAGATAGTGAAAGAGAACCGTATGTAATGAACATTCGTGTTGTTGTTCATTGAAGATAAATGTTCAACATGCAATTTCAATGTAAATTATAGGTTAAACATCTTTTCATGAGAAAAAATGTAATAGCCATATGATTACTTTTCTTGGTGGGTAATGCTTCCCACATCTCAACCCATCCTATATCAGTATACATTTTTTCTACTTGGTAGTCTGCTTGCTCATTTCTTCATATGGTAATCTAGGAGAAACTATTTTATGTAACAAATTGTGGTGAATTACATTCTCTCAAGTTGTATGGTAAAAGATATTGTAAATGACATCGATTTGCTTGATCTGCAGACTGCAACCAAATCAATGTGCTTTTACATACAAATAATGTTATGTTTACTAGAATCTATATAACCAGTTAACCACTCTTAATTCATTCAGCATTACAAATGTAGTATTTCTTTGTGGGAATTGACCCATTTGTACAGGGTTGATGAGAAACCTAGTGATTTGTGAGACTTGCCTTGAGTTGTTGTTGATTCTCTTGGGGCTTCAATGTTGGTAACCATAATAATTGATTTATGGTGCATATTTCTGGGAACTATTGTTCCATTACCAGATACAAAAGAGTGCCTTTAGTCGAGACTACCATGGTTTTCCGGAAATGGGAATGGAACTTGACAAACTTTTCTATAAAAGGAACTTGAGTTTAAATCATCACCAAATAAGCACTCTTGACATGTGTCTTTTAGTTAATAATGTAATGGCAGCTCTAGTGGTATGTTATTGCAGAAATGTTGTGTTTTCTCCAAGCCTTAACTAGAGCAAGTAGGGACTTGTGTTTCCTAGGTAGGTACTTTTTTATAGTCGATGAGTTTTTATTTATTTATTTTATTTTATTTTATTTTTTGTGGTTAAAGTTTGGATTTATCATCTAGCCAAACACATCTTGGGTGAAATGTGATGAATTTATACAAGGTGTGTTTGTTTTGGTTGATTTTATTCGCTTGTAGTTATGTACGCGCGTGTGCGTATGTGTTTTTTTTTTTTTTTTAATTTAGAAGTTGGTTAAGGTGTTTGGAAAGATATTTTTAGCGGCTAATTTAAAACTATTGAATGGTAAATAACAATTGTTATATCAATAAACTGATACAACCATCAGCCATTGTTAATATAAAAATCAAACAAGACCGTAAGTGGTTGTTTAATTGAGGCTGATAAGTAGTCTAGCCAAATACTTAGATACTTGAGCTTGCTTCATGATTGTGCTTGAATATTTAATGAGTTCAAAGTGGTTCGACAATCAATTTTGTTGGTTTAGCGCTCATTGATTTTGGTTGCAGCCAAGATAGTGAAAGAAAGAAATATAACATAAAATTATAGGTTTACAATTATAATATAGCATTAAATCAGTATAATATGATATTAAATGAGTTGATACAGTTAATATTATGGGTAAACCGTTAAATGAAAAAGTATTAATTATATAATGACACATTATGTTGTAAGTTTACAATATTATGTGACATTGTAATTATAACATTTTTTGTATGTGTTGAGCAATCATATTGTTGTTCATTGGAGATGAATGTTCAAAATGCAATTTCAATGCAAATTATTGGCCAGTCATCTTTTGATAAAAAAAAAAAAAATTGTAAAAGTTATATGATCACTTTTCTTAGTAAATTAAAAGATGTAACACTCAATTTTGATAACAGTTCTTTAACAATTACTCTTTTGAAACTATAAAAAATTATTATTTTTTTATAATTTTAATATTCAAAATAAAAATCCAGTCTTGCCTTCTTTAAAAAAAAAAGGTAAGACTGGATTTTTATCCCGTTCAACAAGTGATGGGAAAGGAAAAAGATATCGATGGCAAATGAAAAATGTCTCTCTTGCTTTCCTCTACTACTCTCTCACCCCTTTTTACTCAAGAAGACGATCTTCTGCACTAAAGTGTCAAGAGGATCAAGGATATGGCAATGGATGAAACTCCTAAAGTTGTTTTCGAAGTTTGAATGGAGGATATGACCTACCCTCCATTAGGCTTGGCTACAGAGAAGGGGAAACAATCTACTTAAGTTTTTCCAACTATGGGATCTATGGCTATATCTTTGGACCCTAATGCCTTGACCTCATACAAAGATAAACTTTTAGGTTTAAGTGTGGAGAACCACATCACCCTATCATCTTTTACAATCTCAAACTACATGGAAAAGGAATCTGATGTGGATAATGATGCTCCTATTGTCTTATTATCAAAGGTAAAGAAACAAAGGATTCATGTGCCATGGGTAAATGCTTTGATAATAAAAACTTTCTATAATTTATTTTTCCTTGCGGGAAAGCCCAATGGAAACTTGTTAGGTAATGGGATTTTATCGATCTTGGCCTTGATTCCTTTCCTGTTCGATTTTAGGAGGAATCAGATCTTCAACGAGTGATCTGTAAAGGTCCTTGGTTTGTTGGCCCATATTTCTTAAAGATAAAGTGTTGAGAATTTAATTTTATCTGTGTAAAGCCTTTCATCCTTTACTACCATAGTTGTTTGGGCCAATTGCCTAACTTATCCATTGACTACTATGGTTACTTAACTTTTCAAAAGATTGAAAATAAGTTGAGGACTCTTCTTAGAGTGGACACACACTGCCCACTATACGAAAGAGCAGTATGCCTATATCTATGTAGGTTGATCTCTCAACCTATGGTCAAATATGTGCACATTATCAAGAGAGGGTAGAAAGTACTTTATAAAGGAATTAATGCCCTTTATTTTAACTACAAAAAGATTGGACACCGAAACAATCAATGCCCCGGTTCTACTCAACTTATTACATCCTTCATTAATGAGAACACCATTGTTGTTGCAAAGACTAGTATTGTCATGAACACAACATCCATTAAGAACCAAAAGATTGCATTGCAAAGGATACCACCTTTCCCAAAGCTATCAAAGGCCCCTCACAACCTAGCCCTGTTGATGATCCTAATAAGTACGGCCCATGGATGTTGGTTGAAGGGAGAAAAGCAAAGCAATCTAGCTCTATTTTGGAAGTACTAGAAAAAGTTGTTACTAGTAACAAACAAAGTCATGATGCTAAAAGGTCAGATAGGTTAGGCTACAAACTAGAGCTCGAATCCCAATCAACTATAATAGCCTAGCCTCATTTAATTCCCAACAGGCTTTCCTTTGTTGCATTTAATCTTATTCAAAAGGCTAGCTCATCTACTCCAATAGCTTTTAACTTACACTCTACCTAGAGTACTAAAAGTTTTATTTCAAATGCTAGGCCCCCCAAGCCTAGTAATTCTAAAGCCCTCCCTAAAGCCTAAAACCCTAAAAGCCTACCATATCGCAACAAACCAAATGGACCTAAACAAGGCTAATTCACTTATGTTGCCAAAACTCGAAATTCAAAATGAAGTCCACCCAAGTCCAAAAACAAAAGGCCTTAACTGAGTCTTCTTAAAAACCCAATCAAGTTACCATTTCCAAAGAAGGCATAGATTTGGATAGCTTAGCTTCACCTC